TTTTGCTCCATCTACAGTTTTAAAACCACATCTGTCTTTATCAGGTTGTTTTGACACAGTCTGAGGAAGCAGTTTGGATCAACTTAAAATCAGTGGCAAGTCTGCACCTGCCTCCGTCTGTGCAGGTGAGTCTGTGTCTGCAGGTGAGTCTGTGTCTGCAGGTGAGTCTGTGTCTGCAGGTGAGTCTGTGTCTGCAGGTGAGTCTGTGTCTGTCTGCAGGTGAGTCTGTGTCTGTCTGCAGGTGAGTCTGTGTCTGCAGGTGAGTCTGTGTCTGTCTGCAGGTGAGTCTGTCTGCAGGTGAGTGTCTGCAGGTGAGTCTGTGTCTGTCTGCAGGTGAGTCTGTGTCTGTCTGCAGGTGAGTCTGGGTCTGCAGGTGAGTCTGTGTCTGTCTGCAGGTGAGTCTGTGTCTGTCTGCAGGTGAGTCTGGGTCTGTCTGCAGGTGAGTCTGGGTCTGCAGGTGAGTCTGTGTCTGCAGGTGAGTCTGGGTCTGCAGGTGAGTCTGTGTCTCGTTCAAAAAGCTTTTTCTCTGCTGTCACCAGCCTGTACAGTCCTCACAGTGTATTTAACCACAGGTGAAAGAAAAGAACACTATGTCTAACAGGGAAGTAAGTTTGTGTGTATTCACAGGGGTTTGTTCATTGACGCCACTGCTGATTTAAATCGGCAAGTTGCTGCACTGAATAAAACTGCACATTTGGTCAAATATGGTGTCAAATTTTGATTGCGGCCCTAGGAAGCGGTGAGGTCCGTGTGGCTGTGTTCTTTACAGCTCTGGTTCTGACCTTCAAAAAATCTTCACAAAACCCCACAAAAAAATTTTAACTACAGGGAAAAAAAGCCCTTGCTGCTAAGAGACATGAGGTTCTAAAGTTCTACAGGCAGAGACTGAATATCACACTGACCTTGGAGAAGAACCAACAGATTCGAGCTCAGTCCACTCCCAGGTAAGTTCTAAAAAGGTCAGAAGAAGTTCAGGAGAAGTCCGATTTACAGCATTTTACATAAGGTAGATTTACGTCCTCTTTTTCCTGGACATGTCCTCTTTTTGGGACTCAAAAAAACAACCAGAATAAATTTTTTATATGACCCCAAAATGCCCAGGATTTTGACTTTGTCAGTTGAGTTTTGTGTGGGACAGTTTTCTTAGTCTTTGCTCATTGATCAGATACAATCATGGATCTACTATAAGATCTTATTACATTTCCATGGACACAATCAGCAGCGCTTCTCCTGCACCGTGTGTCTAAACTCCGCCTTCCCTCCTCACACGGACAGCTCCTTTGATCACCTATCTGAATGTGCCAACATTTATTAAGTTTCTTACAGTTATATTAAGTTATATAACTACTGTAAAGAGATTCTAAGTCATAACTCAATTCTTCATGTTTCAAACTCTACAAACTGTTTTATTTGATGAAAACTGACTTCATATTAGGGGAGATAAGTTTATAAATCCCAGCTGTAAAAGTTTGTAGTTAATGCAAACTCAAACACATGTAATCGCGGCATGGGAATAGTCTGACATCTCAACACTATCCTGCAATAAATACAGGATAAAACATGTTCTGTGCCCTAGACTAAGGGGTCTTAAACACTTAAATTTTTGGTCCAGTCTGTTTTTGTTTTCTGCGCATGAAGCAGCTGAGCTTGGACCGCAGCGTTTTGCATTTAGAAAATAATTTTTTTGATTTTGGAACATCATCTGTCCTGACAGAGACAGACATCCAAATCGGGTCAAACCCAAAAGACAAAACTCTTTGCTCCATATTCCTGAGCCGTGCTCCTGTTGTCATAACAACAGTAGAGACAGGCAGCTCCGTGGAAAGTCTGCTGGTGCAGATTTTAGGGAATTAGTGTGAAACTCAACACAAAATGAAAATAACACAACATTTTAAGTTCTAAATCCAGATCACAGTGCAGACTTACAGGTGTGAGCACAGACTGTATATAAAACAAATATTGTCGGCGCTTTCTCTGTAACTGCTGCTGTGAGCCTCATAATTTTGGTCTTAAAATGTTTGTATTAACACACGTTACGTGATCCTGGTGTTTATTTCGTTATTATTTTGTTATTTTATTTCGTAATTGCCAGCGTCTGTGAGCTTCATTTGACTGGAGCCGAACGCTGTGGGTGACGTCACACTCATTTAGTCCACTTCTTTCTGTGGGTGTGAGGCAGCAGTTACCTGTGGAGTGGTGACGTGTATCTCCAGCATCCAAACCATCATTAAGATCACCAAGAGGATCCGTCTGCTGGCCATGACCTTCAGAAAACACAGAAGAGGTGGAACTTTACTTTAAAGGGTCTGGATCTGATTTTCTCCCCTGTATTTGAGCAAAAGGAAATGCGGAAGGAAATGTGGGATTGTTTTTAATCACTGTAAAGCACTTTGTGTTACATGTTTGTATGAAAGCGCTTTATAAATAAAGTTTGTTTGATTGATTGATTGATTGATTGAAAATGTGTCTTACCCCAGTTTAGATATATTGTTTAAGCAGCTCTGGAGGTGTAAATAAGTCTTATGCTGCCTTCATGTGGTGTGGGGAAGATGATCCTTTCCACTTGTAAAATGTAAATTACGAGTGTGTTGTGTTCAAGTGCTTTCGTTGTTGTAGTGAAGTGAAACCTGGTGGACCCAGAGTTTATTCTGTCTTGTTACTTGGGTCAAACAGCTTTAGACTTGCTAATTCATCTGCTACAGCAAGAAGAGAACGCATCAAAACTCCAACCTCATGTCTGGAGAGGACACAGTTGGGACACACGTTCACACAAACTGGTCAGCAGTGGAATATCTGGAGAAGAGCCGTGTGGCATTGTGTGTGTGAAAATGACTTTAGTGGGGCTAAACGTGCATTGAACTTGTTACTGAAACATAATTATACAGGCAAATTTTCTTCATTCACTGTTGTCCACCGAAGGTTATTTTCATCTGTGAAACTCAGGCACCAAGGCTGTTCATTTGCAATTTCCCTCGGGGCAAGTCATATTTACCATAATTCCTATAACACATGAAGGCAGCATAATTACATGTTGGGAAGTTGAACCTGAGACTTTCTTGCTGTGAGGCCGTCACCTGTCCAGCCAAGACCACCTGACTTTACAACTGGCCTCTTTTATTTACTCCTACTTTTGTTACTTGAGTTTTACTCTGTACAGCAGATGTGACATACAGAGGTTCCTTAACTGTTACACAGAAACTAGACTTTAAACAAAGACTAAAGCAAACAGTGTTTCCCATTAATACAGGAGTCTATGGTGCTCACATAATCTAAAATCCTCCCCCAATGTCTAAAAACAACCTTGTGGGACATATGAATCTCAGATGGAGCCAGGATTTTTTTTTTTTTTTTTTTTTTTTTTTTTGCTTTTTTGTTGGTATATTAGACAGGAAAAAAAAATACAGAGTGGTTTTGAATATCTTATTTAGTATTTGAGTAAACTAGATATCACTGAAAACATTCCTTAATCATTCACATTTTCTCAGATTTTCTAGAGGTTAAACTTCATCAAATCAGGACTGGAATTACATAAAAAAATCCTGTACATTTTGTCAAAATCTTAATTAAAGATTGGAAAGTTTAGTGGTAACTTTAGGGTGACCAACAATGTCCTGCCCTGGGCGTCTGTTTTTTCCTTTTTTTAAGTGGTGGAAATGTCCGAGTTTTCATGATCTTTCATTGGGACTATTAAATTGAGCGTCTCTTGTAACTCTCTGTGCACTCAGAAGGAGCGAGCAGACACAAACAGTCGGTCAGTCTGCAACATGCCGAAGTGGAAATGCGCATTTAACGATGACTTGTACAAGAAATTCTCCGTTTTCCGTCCCGGTCGGGACAAGTGGGAGGTCATGTGCACAGGTTGTGAGGTGAGAGTAGCTCAATGTCGAGGCTCCACCCCTGGTAAGGTGTCCAGGTTTTCACAAATGGAAATATGGTATAAATACCCTAACTAACTTAAGGGGTGACCCTTATGTCCCCATGGGGAGAAACATGCATTTTGAGAAAACGCCCTTTGAAGTTACAATGGCCCAAGAAACGATGAGTTAAATTAAATATTAAAACATCTTTCAGTGCAGAATAGACATGAAAGCGTAAATGCTACGAGACCAAACTGATCATAAAACAGAAAACTGTAAAATGTGTTTTGCCTGTAGTTTCTCCAATAACTGATGTAAAACTGTGGTAAATATTTAGCTCAGGTTTAATCCACCAAACCAAGTCAGAAAAACATGAACCTGTCCTAAAACAGTGAGTTAAGTGGACACTTACTTTTTCACTGGTGTCTGGAGAGCATCAGATCCACAGCAGGAGAAGTGCAGAGGAAAGAGTTCAACACTGACATATTATAGAGTCAGGTCACATGACCCAGTGATGACCAGACTGGATATGCAGGTTCTGATGGGACTGTACTATAGGATGTAAGAGATCACCCAGACAATCCCAAAATATAACTGTTCTTCCTCCACTGATACAGACATGGACTTTACAGATTATGGCTGTGACCCAACGGATCCTCTGAATCTGTCACTGGATTTAAGAACGATAAGACCTGAGACTTCTCCCTCAGACGTGTAATTAAATAAATGCTTTATAGATGCAGTTAATGCCATACAGTGCAACATTCCAGGCTAAGCAATAAGATCTCAGAGACAAGCAGAAAAGTTTAATAGTTTATTAAAACACACACACACACACACACACACACACAAACAAATAATAACATTGATAAATACAAGAAAAATTACTGTAAAACAAAAGACACACGGCATATCCAGTAGTGATGCACAGGTCAGACCCGACCCACCAAAACCAAACCAAAGAAATGGGTTCAAATATTGGGACCCGACCCAAACCTTGCTATGATGGGACCTGACCCACCTGCACCGGCTTTACTTCTTCTCATTGAGTTTTCCGACCCACGCATCACTAATTTCCAGATATCATCTCACAAAAATGTAAATATGTTGGTAGTTGAGTCTCCGGCAGAGCGTGGAGCAGATAAATGTTGTGTTGATTCATATTTCATTCTTTTACCATGTGATAATAAAAACAAAAACATTCCTGAATCTAGTGATCTTTACTGGGCTTTATAAAAACCCTCTTTGCATTTAGCTGTAAGATTCTGGGAACGCTCCGCCCACAAGCCTACATCACCCATTCTCCAGAAATATACAAAACATGATGCAAAACTGTACACAACAACTTCACAAACCTGAAAAACAAACATGGTGATCTAAATATATTACATGTTAACAGTTAAATATCCCCTGGAAGTAAAATACGCCCTCTTTATGATCAGAACGTTGCAAAAATGTACCACTTTTTCCAAATGTAAATAAAATGCAGTCCCATCTTGATCCTCCGGGTGGCGTGAACTTTAGTTTTGAGTCATGGCTCTCTATAATGTGCACAGAAAGAAGAATTTAAACTTTTTATTTAAACTTAACATTTCTGATAGATTTCTGTTTGGATCATTATTTTACTACGTTCTTGAGAACTAAAGTGATGGTGGAGAAGGTAATAAGACATAATATTTTACATATCAGAGTCATAACAGCAGTGTTGGGGAGTAACAGATTACATGTACTGGAGTTATGTAATCAGAGTACAAATTATGAGTAACTGTATTCAGTTACAGTTGCTGTTTCAGTGAGTGGTAATTGGATTACAGTTACTTTGTTGAAATAAGTGGATTACACAGTGGGATTTTCCTGTTTTTCGCGTTTTGGGCTATACCCCCCACCCCTCCCCTGCCTTTTTTTTTTTTTTTCCCCCCCGTAATTCCACTCATTGCCGGAAACTAAACCAGGTCTAAACCAGGACTAAAACCATGTCTAAACCAGGACTAAAAACAGGACTAAACCAGGTCTAAACTAGATCTAAACCAGGTCTAAACCAGATCTAAACCAGGACTAAACCAGGACTAAACCAGGTCTAAATCAGGACTAAAACAGGATTTAACAGGACTAAACCATGCCGCGCAGACCGTGTCTCCTCCTCTTCTATCAATAATATTTTTAATTTGGTTCAGTAAAATTTGGGCTTTTTATTTTCTTTTTTTCAGACAAAACATCTTATGTTACGATATCCTCATCTTTGCTTCTCTACAGCAAATCAAGTAATCCAAAATAATCAGATTACATTTCTCACTTTAAGTAATTTAATGGATTACGTTACAAACTACATTTTGGTGTGTGTAATCTGTAATCTGTAGGGGAATACATTTTAAAAGTCACCTTCCCAACACTGCATAACATCATGTACTTACTGTTTCTGATCTGGAATTCTCCGACATTTTTTGCACATGATCAAAAGTATCTGTTGAAAAAAAGATGTCATTCTTTAAAAACAGGAAAAGAAAATGTGTTCTCGTCCAGATAAAAGCTCACAGTCATGTATTGTGTGGTAAAAACTGCTAAACAAGAAATACATTGGGATTGTAAAATATAATAACATAATAATAATCTTCAGATGATGTTGCTAGTCTTAGATGCAGGATTATAATTAGTTTGCATGTTCTGGGTTGATGGGGGAAACTGCATAGTCTGAAAGAAACCCACTAAGGCACAGGCAGAACATGCAAACACCACCCAATCTGACACATTGACAAAAAAAAAACAAAAAAAAAAACTTGTGAAATCAACTCCCTGAGACTATCCCAGACACTTGATTCTCTGCCATGGTGCATTTATGGTTTTGAAATCAATTAGTTCAAAATGCAGAGAAATTATACTTCTATACATGCATCCTGAATTTCAGACTGGGAAGGATTTTCTGAAAAAAGTGAGCATCAAACCGCCATGTTTGTTTTCCCAGTGGGATGCGTCTATTGTCAAAGCCTGATCTTTTCAAGTCTTTTGTACCATTTTGTTTCTGGTTCTGATATTGTCATATTTTAGTTTTGGCATTCGGACGTCGTAATTGTGTGGTTGTTGAATGTCCCAACAGCGGAAAACGACTTGAGAAACGGGCTTCAGAAGTTTGCGAACTCCATAAATACAAAAGGGAATCAGATGTGTGTGACTGCAAACCTCTGTTCAAACTGTTTCCCTTCACAGCGGAATTGAAAAATAGTGAAAGGTGAAGGCGATGGGCAGGTGAGATCCACAGGAAGGACCAAAAAGATAAGAAATCATCCCAAGTTTGTAGCGAACATTTTGTATGTGGAGCTCCAACAAAGCAAAATCCCGTTTGTTAAGTGAGAGGTGCAGAAGACAAACAGACTGAGCTGCACTTTCTTGTTCTTGTGGTTTTACAGCAACATCACATCTTGGTCTCTTTGCAGTGGAAGGTGTTTCTTGGTGAACAGCTGGTGCTTTTCACTTTGGCGTTGACTTTTTAAATTCGTAACCAAGGTTGAGCGAGGGATCGGGATTTTGCTTTGACATACAAAATGTTCGCTGCAAACTCGTGATGATTTAGGCAGCCAAAGGTTTCATTTTTCGTCCTTCCTGTGGATCAATCCTGCCCATTGCCTTCACCTTTCACTATTTTTCAATTCCACTGGGAAGAGAAACAGTTTGAACGGAGGTTTGCAGTCACACACATCTGATTCACTTTTGCATTTATGGAGTTCACAAACACATTTCTCGAGCCATTTTCCGCTGTTAGAACATCCAACAACCACACAATTACGATGTCCGAATCCCATAACTAAAATATGACAATATCAGAACCAAAAACAAAAGCGCTATGGTTCAAAAGACTTGAAAAGTTCGACTTTGTCAATAGATGCATCCCACTGGGAAACCAAACATGGCGGTTCGATGCTCACTTTATTGGAGGATCCTTCCCAGTATGCACTGCGCAATGACCGGAAGTCTGAAATTCAGGATGCATGTATTGATGCTTTTTGAGATGCTTTTGTCTTCTATCTTCTATCTAAAACATGTTCCTGACTCATAGTTTTGAAATTTAAGTACAGGCCATTTAATAAAGAAAATCTGCAGAAGTCTTTAACAAACCTTAGAATCGTAGAGCGGTCCAAACACTAGAATCCACAATCCCTAGAAAAAAGAATGTGTGTGTTTACTACAGAAAGAGACTGCACACATCACGTCACCATCATTCCATTAATAAAGATTTACACTGTGGCTCTTGGGAACAAAAGGACTTGTTTCTACTAAATCGCTTTACATCATTGTTGTGTTTCATCAACACGTGTTATAGTTTGTTACTAAATATTTCACGAGGATTGTTCCAAACCTACTTACAGCAGGGTTTTGTCACTGGTCATTGGTTTGTGGTCACACGGATTACCTCCTTTCTATACTTTTTGATTGATGTATTTATTTTGTAACATTGCTCCATCATTTGGCATAAAACATCCATAGAGACAAGCAGGTGGCACAAAGGCCAGGTCAAAGATCAAATCTGTGGAGAGGCGACCACACTAACTGTACTTCTGTGTGTCAAACGAGTCTGTTTCACATGTAATCTTTGCATTTCATCAGTGTATTTCAAACATCTGTCCCCAAATGCAAAACCTCTGAATAGGTCTGACCCTATTTCCACACCAGTATGTATTCTTCAAATATGTTGGAAGTAACTGAAGATAGTAACTGAAGAATTGCAAGATCAGTACTTTTAAGGTGACTGAGACATGTGTATGTTTTTCTTGAGAGATTCAAATGGTTTTACTCCTCACCAGAAAAGTGTACTTTGAAATACTAGAATACAATGTATTCAGGGGCGGACTGGAAATGTCCAGAGTGACCGTCTGCCTGTGGGCCGATTTGCACAGTTTGTGGGGGAAAAGTCCAGGGTCGTTTGTGGTTGTAGTCCGCCCCTGGATGTATTACAGTGTGGACCTGTTCACCAGGGAACCACACAGGCGTCTGTAAGTATTATCTACACACCTTAAGAGAATTGAAGACACCAAAGGCGTAGTAGATTCCAGAGCCCATAGCGCCACGGATTGCTCCCACTCGAAGTCCATTAGTCAGGGCAAACAACAGGAAGAAAATGAGCAGAAAGACCAGCCGCATCAGCAGCTTGCCATTTGCCTCCCTGTTAACTATTCTGCTACTGCGGACCAGCCTGTACAGAACCGCACTGAGCAGCACTAGGTTGGCCAGCACTATGGTCATCACTGGTACGACAAAGGAAAGAAGAGTCATTTCATTAAAGAAATTTGGTAAACACAAACCAACCTCATTGACAATCACATATTTCCCTTGTGGTGCTGTGGTGGCTATTGTGAACGTGGCTAACAGCAGTGGAACTCCGTACCCCACAGCAAAACCAATGGTGAGCATTTTAACATGGGACATGTTGGTGAAGGTCAAGGAAGTTTTGTAGAAAAGAAGCAGGCTCGAGACGAGCATCCAGGAGACAATGGAAAGACAAAAAAAGTGCCAGAAAAACATTAAGTAAGAACATTTCCAAGAGGTTGAAAAGATGTCAGGTTTGTGAAATGAAAGGGCGACGGTGCAGTCTTCCAACAGCTCGCAGATGGCCATGTTTATGATGGTCACATGTCTGAGCAGAGAGTTGGTGTTTGCACATATGGATTTCCAAAAACATCCCTCCACTAGGAGGCATATCAGGATGCAAAATACATTAACTCCAGCTCCAAAATAAAAAAATATTCATTCACATAATTACACATAGGAGTATGAGTGTTAAGAACTGAGAAAGCACCGGGACGACTGCAGTTACAAACCACAGTTTCATTCATTTGATTAGTGTAACATATCTTATAGTGCCAACTCCCCACTCCTCCCCTCAGATCATGTTTCCAGAGAACACAGAGGTGTTGGCTTGTGGAAAAGGTCTTCATCTTGAACCTCACATGCACTTCACGGATCTGCAGCTGGGGGAACTGTGACCAGGACCACGTCTGTGTTGATGGTACCGTTGTCTGAGTATGGGAGGACAGGGGAGGGCGTCAGAGCGCCCAGTGTGGAGAAGGTCATGGTGGTGATGAAGGCACCTGTCTGTCTGGAGATCTCTCTGTGTGCCTGGGATCTCAATAGAAACAGTGGGGCTCAGGTCTTCTGTGTAAGATCCGTTGAAGCTGCTTTTTTTTCAGCTGTATGTGTGGAGTGGAGATGGAGATCTCTCCTTCTAAAGATGCTGACAGATCCTCCAGCGCCCTCAGGAGGTTGGAGGTGGCATTGAAGCTGCTGTTTGGAGACAGAGAGTGCCAGGAGCCAAATGCCTCCTCAGAAACAAGGACATCCACTGTCTTCAGAACATTCTACAGACAAAAGAGGAGCATCAGTGATACTGTTTAAATGTAATGATATTTTATGTAATATCTACTCAAACCAGACATCAGCACCTCCATGATTGGAGCCGTGACCTCAGTGATGACGGCAGAGGTCACTTTAAGGATGTCAACAACTGACAAGATGGTAGAAGCTGAATTCTGATCTTGTTTTTGAAGAGAAGTAACATTTTGAGAGAGCTTTTCAACAAACACCTTCAGTTCTGCAGAGCTCAAATTCTGGCGATACAATACAAAACATACAGTGTTAGTATCATAACAGTTTGAGTGCTGTGTTCTGACTGCATTTATAAAATACAACTTCTTCTTCTTCTGCTACGTAAAATGTGGAATCACTCCATAATTGGAAAACAAAATCTTTTCCGCATTGAAGTGATACAGAACACATTTGTTGATGTGCAGAACGAGAGCTCTGATAGTTCTGGTGACTCACTTTATTAACTAACCAAAGCAGCACAATTGGAATAAGTTGGTCACAAAATGAAATGGAGGTGTGTAGAAGTGCTGCTTTAGGCTGAGTTCATGAAGAGAAGTGTTTGCATCTGCTGCCTCCACATCTACTCAAAAGACTGCTGCTGCTACTTCTACTAGTACTATTACTAGTACTAGTACTTGTACTTGTGCTGCTGCTACTAGCGCCCTCTACTGACCTGTGACAGGATCAGCAGCTGCTGGATCGGGGATAAAATGCTGGAGATGTCGATGTAGTTAGACCCTTGGAGGAGACACATGAAAAACACAGATGGTTTTATTTTACCTGAGAGGGAATAATAGTCCCTTCCTTGAACCGTCACCTTATCGTGGTGGACGGGTTTGAGTGCCCGAATGATCCTGGGAGGTATGTTGTCGGGGGCTTCATGCCCCTGGTAGGGTCACCCAAGGCAAACAGGTCCTGGGGGACGGGTCAGACGAAGAGAACGGTTCAGAAAGCCCCACATGATGAGTTCTAATCAGAGGCCAGTTACGTCGCCTGGAATGGCGTCACCGAGGCCCCACCCTGGAGCCAGGCCTGGGGTGGGTGCTCGAAGGCAATCGTCTGGTGGCTGGGCCTTCCCCCACGGGGCCCGGCCGGGCACAGCCCGAAGGAGCGACATGGGGCCGCCCTTCCGTGGGCCCACCACCTGCGGGAGGAGCCATATGGGGCCGGTGCAAAGAGATCTGGGCAGCAGCGGGGGCCTCGGCGACCAGATCTCCGGACATGGAGACTAGCTCTGGGGACAAGGAATGTGACCTCGCTAGGGGGGAAGGAGCCTGAGCTTGTGCGAGAGGTTGAGCGTTACGGCCTAGATATAGTCAGCCTCACCTCCACGCAACAGTTTGGGCTCTGGAACCCAACTCCTTGAGAGGGCTGGACTCTCCATTTCTCTGGCGTTGGCCGCGGGGAGCGGCGGCGGGCTGGTGTGGGCTCATTGCCCCACAGCTCAGCCGCTGTGTGTTGGAGTTCACCCCGGTGAACGAGCGGGTCGCGTCCCTGCGCCTTCGGGTCGTGGACAGGTCTCTCACTGTGGTGTCGGCCTACGAGCCGAACAGCAGTGCTGAGTACCCGGCCTTCTTGGAGTCCTTGGGAGGGGTACTAGACAGTGCTCACCAACCGGGGACTCCGTTGTTCTCCTGGGGGATTTCAACGCCCACGTGGGCAACAACAGTGACACTTGGAGAGGGGTGATTGGGAGGAACGGCCTCCCCGATCTGAACCCGAGCGGTGTTTTGTTATTGGACTTCTGTGCTAGTCACAGTTTGTCCATAACGAACACCATGTTCGAGCACAAGGGTGTCCATAAGTGCACGTGGCACCAGGACACCCTAGGCCGGAGGTCGATGATCGACTTTGTAGTCGTGTCATCTGACCTCCGGCCATGTGTCTTGGACACTCGGGTGAAGAGAGGGGCTGAGCTGTCAACTGATCACCACCCTGGTTGTGAGTTGGGTTCGCTGGCGAAGGAGGAAGCCGGAAAGACCTGGCAGGCCCAAGCGTGTAGTGAGGGTCTGTTGGGAACGTCTGGCAGAGCCCTCTGTCAGAGGGACTTTCAACTCACACCTCCGGGAGGACTTCTCCCGGATTCCGGGGGAGGCTGGAGATATGGAGTCAGAGTGGGCTTCATTCTCGGCCTCTATTGTCAATGCGGCTGCTCGGAAGCTGTGGGCGTAAGGTCTGTGGTGCCTGTCGCGGCGGCAATCCCCGAACCCGCTGGTGGACACTGGAAGTAAGGGTTTGCCGTCAAGCTGAAGAAGGAGTTCTATTGGGTCTTGTTGGCTCGTGGGATTCCTGAGACAGCTGATGGGTACCGGCGGGCCAAGCGTGCTGCAGCTCGTGTGGTCGCGGAGGCAAAAACTTGGAGCTGGGAGGAGTTCGGGGAGGCCATGGAAGAGGACTATCGGACGGCCTCAAAGAGATTCTGGCAAACTGTCTGCGCCTCAGGAGGGGGAAGTAGTCCTTCACCAACACTGTTTACAGTGCGGGGGGGAGAGCTGTTGACCTCGACTGGGGACGTTGTCCGGCAGTGGAAGGAATACTTTGAGGATCTCCTCAATCCCACCGTCACGTCTTCCGAGGAGGAAGCCGAGGCTGGGGACTCAGAGGCGGACTCGTCCATCACCCTGGCTGAAGTCACTGATGTGGTTGGCAAGCTCCTTGGTGGCAAGTCTCCGGGGTTGGACGAGATCCGTCCTGAGTACCTTAAGTCTCTGGATGTTGTGGGGCTGTCTTGGCTGACACGCCTCTTCAACATCGCGTGGCTGTCGGGGACAGTGCCTCTGGACTGGCAAACCGGGGTGGTCGTCCCTCTGTATAAGAAGGGGGACCGGAAGGTGTGTTCCAACTACAGGGAAATCACACTCCTCAGCCTTCCTGGTAAGGTCTATGCCAGGGTACTGGAGAGAAGAATCCGGCCGATAGTCGAACCTCGGATCCAGGAGGAGCAGTGTGGTTTTCGTCCTGGCCGTGGAACACTGGACCAGCTCTAACACTCTCCATCGGGTCCTCGAGGGTTCATGGGAGTTTGCCCAACCAGTCCACATGTGCTTTGTGGACTTGGAGAAGGCATTCGACCGTGTCCCTCGTGGTGTCCTGTGGGGGGTGCTCTGGGAGTATGGGGTCCGGGGCCCTTTGCTAAGGGCTGTCCGGTCCCTGTATGACCGGAGCAGAAGCTGTGTTTGTATTGCCGGCAGTAAGTCAGACCTGTTTCCCGGTGCATGTTGGACTCCACCAGGGCTGCCCTTTGTCACCGGTTCTGTTCATTGTATTTATGGACAGAATTTCTAGGCGCAGTCAGGGGCTGGAGGGGGTCCGGTTTGGGGACCACAGGATCTCATCTCTGCTGTTCGCAGATGATGTTGTCCTGTTGGCTCCATCAAAACCAGGACCTGCAATGTGCACTGGGGCGGTTTGCAGCCAAGTGTGAAGCTGCTGGGATGAAGATCAGCTCTTCCAAGTCCGAGGTCATGGTTCGCGAGCGGAAAAAAAGGTGGCTTGCCCTCTCCTGGTGGGTGGGGAGTTCTTTGCCTCAAAGTGGAGGAGTTCAAGTATCTCGGGGTCTTGTTCACGAGTGAGGGAAGGGCGGAACGTGAGATTGACAGGCGGATCGGTGCAGCGTCTGCAGTGATGCGGTCGCTGTATCGGACCGTTGTGGTGAAGAGGGAGCTGAGTCGAAAGGCGAAGCTCTCGATTTACCGGTCAGTCTTCTTTCCTACTCTCACCTATGGTCATGAGCTCTGAGAAATGACCGAAAGGACGAGATCACGGATACAAGCGCTCTCAAAATGAGTTTCCTTGCAGCAGGGTGGCTGGGCGCTCCCTTAG